ATATTATATATATTATATATTGTTATAATAGTTGTTATTCCTGTGACTGTGAGTCAGTGGGACCTTATTTATTGTAGATAACTTACAGTATTGTGTGCTGTTCAATAGGTGCAATGGTCTAAATCAGTAGTTCCCAGTCTTTTCTATTATTTAGTAATAGTAACTAAGTAAGTAAAGGCATATTTTATGGATATTTCTTATATTAAATGCATAACAATAACAGTAAAGAACAACTAAAGCTGTAGAACGGCAGGAAGTTTGTGTAAAACCAGAAATTATTTCCTGTGAATGTGGATCAGAGATGAGTTTTAATTCATTCTCTGTCTGTATTGTGTTTAAATTGACTTTTTAACCATCATAATTCAGTATTTCCTTCTCTCTGACACCTGTGCTATTCACTCTTTAGTTCTTATACCTGCATACTTTTTTAACACAAGACGATGAGATATAGGCCTACTGTGTATAATGTTTAATATACACAAGAAGAAGAATTTCCATATTATCACACTGCCATATTGTGATTTTGATAATACTAAGATAATATCAGATATTTACAGGGAGAATTCAGCTGCTTCATAATTTATAATCCATTCGTTGTGAGGATGTAATATTGTTTTAATATACTGCGTCATATACTGAGACTATAAGGAAGGTGATATATTGCAATTTTCGTATAAAGACTAAATCTCTATATGGGTACAATCTGAGTAAGTAAACTTTTTTTATTCAACCAGAACAGAGTATTTATCTCAGTGCCTGTTACATCCAACATCAGAGCCCTCAGTGTGCAACACTGCTGTCTATGGGCCCAAATCACAAGTTTAATTACGACATTATAGCCATTTTTGGGACACTGATATCACAAATTATGATTCGATTCAGAGACCTGTGATCGATATCAGGGTTCCCACACATCCTCCAGTCATGGAAAAACCTAGAAATGGATTAGAATGACCAACTATCATGGAAAGTCTGTTTTCCTGGAAAATGTTAAAACTAGATATTTAGTTTGAATCTCGACTGATTTTTCTGTCCTCTTGCAACAAATGTTTGGCATCGAGTGTATTTTGGAAACGCTGTAGACAGTCACATCTCCACTTCTTCTCTTAACTGGTTACTAAAGGGTTGGTACTGATAGCCAGTTATTACTTTGAACTCCCACACACTTAAAACAATGATGAAAATACGACCAAAGTCAGACCAACAAGAAACGCTTGAATTCCTGCACACACCCAGCGGTTTAGGCTGTGGACCTTCGACAGGTGACATTTAAAGAGTGAAGAGTTAAATGGTTGACTTAGTTGTGGTCATAAGAGGTTTGTTTGCTGTGTGAGTCACAAAGTACATTTCAAACAGAGGCCAAGAAAAATATTAACATTTCATAACAATAAGCAATAAAAAGAAATAAATTAATTAAGATTTAATTTAATAAAATATAAAAAATAGGATGGAAGTGACCAGAAATGCAGTTGTGGTTCAGTGTAGGAATGCACAGTTAATCAAAATATTATCAAAATCACAATCTGTCAATATGTGCAATACGCAAATCATGTGACAAACTGCATTATAATGAAGCACTGTAGAGCTGCAGAGAGGCTCTGACCTACAAAAGTTCTTCTCCAGATGTAAGAAAACAAACGATTCACATCATCATGATTTTTTTCAATGAAAATTAAATGTGTGATGCAGAAATAATTCCCACAATCGTGAGTTGAGTTTTTTACAATATCCTGCAGCCCTAATACAGCGTCGTAACAAGTGAATGCAGCAAAGGAAGTAAAGAGAGAAAGCAGTCGATCAAAGACACAGGACACCAGCAGAGTTTCTGTCTGTGAACACTGAGGGTGACTCATCATCAACCCATCACAGCTGTTTTGTTCTGACTCAATGAGGTGGTCTGAAAATATTCCACTCTCTCCAAAAGACCATTTACATTAAACAAATCTGGAGTTTTTTCCAATGAAAGGAAGATGAGAGAGTGTGTAGTCATTCCGTACTGAAGGACATTGATGATAGAAAGCTGGGGATTGTATTCGTTATCGTATGAATGTGAAAAATATACTTTTTAGTACAAAAGTGTGCTTCTGCTGAACTCTGTGAGTGTGCATGATACTCTGAACTGAAGTTACTCATAAAAAAAGATTTTTAGTGCTGTACAGAGCCAGAAAAGGGCCCCGTAAGTGTTCTGTGGGAGTATTTTGGATGCATTGTCCAGTCAAAGCTTCAGTAATCAGATCTCACATTCTTTTCCCCCTCCTCCTCTCTTAATAAGTCTGTATCTCCCTCCCTCCCTCCCTCTCTCATGCTGTTCTCACACTCCGTCCATCTCAATCCAGATCTTTTTGGGGAAACACCTTCTCGCTAGTATTTTTATCCCTCAGCCAGAGGTATTGTGTGCAGCGTCTGTAAGCACGCTGTTGTATTTTTATCCGCCGGGCAGCGGGAGCTTGGAGAAAACACGGCTAATGAAAAACACTCAGAGGAGCAAAATCATGACGCACGCTCCAAAACAGCCGCATGGTGCCTCGGAAGTGTCCCAATCAAGGCGCTATTGTGTAGATTTATGTAATATTACATTGTTGTATAAAAACATTATATTCTTTGGTATTTTGTGAGCTTGTTTTTGCTGATGCTGCTGCCTAGCTGCAGTTCGGTTAGTAAACACAGCATGACTCCCTGCGGGCTCTAAGTGGTCATTTCATTATACTATGTATATATACATATATATATAAATATATATCAGTCATCTAAAGCTCTGTGGTTTTATAGTCCTGCCCTGGTGATGTGGCTTTGTGACTCTTGTAGCATTGATTTTTATTATCTTTGTCATGTTTTAAGGTAAAGTTATTTTTTACCTACTGCAGCTCTAGGATAGATGATAGATAGAAGATAGAATAGATAGATAGATAATAGTAGATAGATAGGATAGACAGACAGACAGACAGACAGACATTGCACCGGAACTGTAAATATATGTGAGCTATAGAAAACACAATATGCTGAATGTCCTAGAATACAATATAAAAATATAATAAAATATAATTTAGGGATGCACAATAATTATCGGGGCAGATAGATTATCGGCCAATAATGGGACATATATATATGACTTATATATTATGTATGAATTATTGGCATAATTAAATTACATTATTTTTGTGAAGTTTTTTATGAATTTTACCTGAAAACTCTTTGCTCATTACATCTCAGCCTTTCTTACCATCAAGTATGTAAAAACTTCAGGTTATGAACTTATTTTTAAAACACAAAAATGTGACATTTTCAGCTGTAGGTAATTATCAGCTATGGTATCAGCTGACAAAAGTCCATATTGTGCATCCCTGATATTTCCAGAATCAAATACTGGGGACCAGAGGGAACGTCTGAGGGCTTCGGTGGATGGATGGAAATGCATGGTGCTGGGGGGAACGTAAGAGGTGGCTGGATACAGATACAGGGGGGCAGACTAAACAAAATTAAAACAACTGTGGCAGCTGTGGCAGTAATATGTTACAAAGTGAAGACATATATGAAGGGAAGAAATCGTGGGATCTGCTCCTCCGTTAAGCCGTTGGAGGTGTGCTCTATTTACAGATGTTTCATGGATCCATTGAGTAGAAACCTTAAAATAACAAAGATGAACACACACAGGGTGTGGGTAGAAGTGGTATTTGCAGTGTAGTAACTGCAGCTTGTGCTGGCCTGCACAGACAGTGGGAGGGGTGGGGTCTGCTGTGGCACATGTGGGTAAGCTGAAAACGAATATATTTCAAATATATCTCTGATATCTCCCGATATGTTAGTAATGTCGGTGTGACCTGTTGTGTCCCAAACGCCTCATCTGTTACTCTAGGCTATAGCGAGTTTCCTGACAGCCTTTCCTAAAGAATGCATCCTCCCTTCCTGTCACACTGACAGAAACACTGTCCAGCCCTCCTTAGAATGTTGCAGAGAAGAAAGTTGATTATTATTATTATCACATGACTTTTTATGACATCAAGACATATTTAAGGAAACAAGGAAAACAACGCATTAAATAAAGATCTTAAATGTCTCTGTTTGAGCTTCACATTGAAGAGACAGAAAGATGGTCAAGTTTTCATCCAAATGTAGCACATATTTCAACTGAAGGTTCATTAATGCACATTTCCATCCGCTACTTTTATGTGAATATTGGGTTCATCAAGATAAACAGTGGGTTGTGATGATTCTTCAGTTAGATGCCATTAAATCATTGCAGACACAACAAGATAACATTAATAAAAGACCCAGTCAAACCAAAAGTGTGCAAAGACTGCAGCAAGAAAAGAAAGTCAGTTCTTCATCTATTATCCCGAGGAGTGTTTGATTATCTCTTCCTTACTTTATCTTTTCAGGTTCGTGTGATCCAAACATACCAGAGGAGGGACCTTCAGCTCCCCCTCCTGGCTGGTTGGATGACATACATGGATACGTGGGCCACAAAGGAGGAGGTGAGTCTTTCGTTCTCTTCTCTTTTTATTTTTCATTGAACATTTCCCAACCTTCATCCCCTATGTATTTGTGTTACTATGTATGTCCAGAGGATGAGAACCCATTGTACCCACCTCCCCCTGCCTACAACCCCCAGCCAGAGCTCAACAAGAACACTGTGGTGCCTGATGTCAGGTAACACATCAATAATTCACTTCATTTATAAAATACTTTGCTGATGATTCTGTGCTTTATTTTAACAATAAAAATTGAAGACATGAGGGGATAAAAGAAGTATACACTACACGTGTCTGTGTTTGCTCCTCCAGGGTCCCCACAGTATCGGAGGATGTGGCCAGAGCTGCCCTGCTCAAGTTTGTGGAATCGAAATGGAGGTACAGCTCCAAACCTGCCAGGAACCTCACTTTCAAAGAACTCAGACCCCTCACTGTGTACAGGGTAGGAGCATTTCTTTTGCACAGATGAAATAACTGATTCTAGCAGCATGACGCTAACCTCTTCAGCATCTGCCATTGTTGTTTTAGAGCAGTCACTTCTCACGCACGTCATCACACACGTCTAGTGTTATACCATGCCTGTAGCTCATGTTGTAGTTCCTAAAAGGTCGCTGATTGGTCTAAACCACTATTTTGACAACAAGTAGATGGATTTGTACACACATTCTTGGTCCCCAGAGGATGAATCCTAGTTACTTAAGTGATCCCCTGACTTTTCCTGTAGTGCCACCAGCAGGTCATAGTTTTCTCTTGGATGATGTCATCTCTGGAGAACTGTAGAAACTATTGTAATAATGTAAAAGTGTGCATGATCTGTTTTCTGATGGTATGTCTGTTCATTATGCAGTATCGACTGGAGACCTACACTGAGACCAGAACCAGCGGCTGGCAGTTTGAAGCCTACAATGGTAAAACTTTACTCTGATCCAACAAATTACTGTGTGAGGCTGTACTTAGCCACAGTGGTGCTTTGCATCAGCATGCTAACATACTCACAATGACAATGCTAACTGTCAATGTTTAGCAGGTTTAATGTTTACCATGTTTTTGCAAAGAAACACAAAGTTACAGCTGAAGCTGATGGGAATGTCATTTGTTTTGCAAGTTTTTGGTGATAAACCAAATAAACGGACAACTTAAAAATGTGACCTGATGATGGTGCTACATTTGGGTGACCATACATTTTAAAACCCCCCAAACAGGACGTGCACGTTTATGTCTGCACACATGTATGCGCTTATGCACATCGGGAAGCAGGACAATTATTGCAACGCCATGAGTACAGCATTTTCGTTGTAGGTACTTAATGAAGGAGTAAGTCTCCTGGAGCCAGAAGCACAAGTATCATATATGCAAGGTATGCAGTTGCATAGGGGCCCGCAGTAGTCCGGAGCCCATAATGGACTACTCGTATCTGCACCGCCGCTATAATGTTGATTGACATGAGCTGAACTGACATCATATGCAGCCAATCAATTTACACGTTGTCACAGGAGTTATTTATAGTAGACAGTGAGCAAAGCTTAGTGTATGGTGTCTCCGTCTCACACATTCACTAATAAGAAAAGAGCTAGGACAGCACTGCCTTTCAACTTTTTTAACTTTGCCACACTGACATTTCGGGGAAGGCGACCTTTTTCAGCATGTATTGACATGTTTACAATGAATCTACACATGGTGGAATTAATTAAAGGTTATCCCAACTGGCACAACAAGTACATTCCAACAGGGTCAACTACAAGCACAGGCACACAAGGACATGATATAAAATACATAAAAACAGATGAATGTTTTCACACAGTCCATTTACCATCCAGAGCTGCAGGCATCATAGCCTATGACTCATAGGTTAGCAACAGCCTTGACAATGACACAGTGGTTCATTGAGAGTTGACAGTTAAAAGTTCCACTCTTCATTGATTAAATGTTGTCTTTTTTCCCTTCAAACAGGACAGCCAGTCGATGGTCCGCAGTATGGTATGAGCCCTCCACCGTGGGACATTCCCATAACGTTGCCTCAGAGATACACCAACAAAGTGGAGAAGGTCCGTGTGCCACACTCATCCTTTGTGAAGGTGAATTCATCTTAGACTATCAAGCATTATTTGATTTTCTGATTTGCTATTGTTGTTGCATACTATTTTATTTTATGTTCTTTGTATCAAAGTAACATGCAACATGTGTGCTTCTATGTTTGTGTGTGTGTTAGGTGTGTCACAAGTGCAACGGCTTTGGGAGAACTCGCTGTATTACTTGTCATGGTAGAGGCCAGGTAAGATGTCTCATTTTTAGACCTGTTGCAGTTTGTACATGAAAGAAGGCAAGAGTAGAAGGAAGAGAACGTGGTAAAGGTCATGATTCAGTTCAATCCACATTACAAGTTCACTGTAGCACTGCAAGTTCATGGTTAACCCACAAAGTTCTCTACATAGATTATTTTACAGGAGCAGATTTTACGTTTCTGTATGTTCAGTTTGTGTTTTTTTTTTGTACAAAAAGGAGCTAAAAGGACAATGGAAGCTGTATGTTACGCCTTTACACACAGACATGTCCATCAAGTAATGAGGGGCTTTTTTATTATTCAGAAATGATGTAACACAACAAGAAAGGGTCCCTTCTTCAAGCACAATTCAAGTTTTTCATAAGCCAAAAGAAATAAATAGAAGACCTATTACTAAAAAGTAAATCCCTCATGTCCTCGTAGACAGGACATGCAAACTCTGTCCTCCTCTGGAGTGGCATTAAACCTACTTGTCTTTATGGCTAATGGTTTCTGGTGGGCTCAACTCAAATCCTCATCTCACTTTGCAGAAGCGTTGTACATTCTGCCACGGTCATGGAGTTTCCAGGAACAACCGTTGCTCTTCCTGTCATGGCCGAGGTCACAAGAGGTGTGAGTCCAGTCTGCCTGCTTTCTTTACAGTCTCTGTCTGAATGTCCTTCTCCGTCTTGCAGAAGCGTTGTTCAAACTGCCATGGCTCAGGGTTCAGAAGGAAGCCTGGGAATCACAAGCGGTCCTCTGGGAAGACACGTTGTTCTTTCTGTCGCGGGAGAGGGCGTAAGAGGTGAGAGAGGCCCGAAAACTCTTGACGAAAAGAGTTTGGGTCGTGAGATTAGAGCTGGTAGAATAGAGTATCTATAGGAACAGGACCAGTCTGCCGAGCTCAAATAATGTTTCATTTGCTCTGGCCACCCATCCTGCATCTGGTCGGACCAATTACATGACTTGTCAATCACAAGGTAGCCACTAAAGCCCTAAAGCATAACCTGCTTTATGGTCTATTTTGGGGTAAGTGGGGACATAATTTACTTAATGAACATCAGGCTGTATGGAAGACGACTTGAAACTAGAGATTGAGACCATAAACTCATTAGGTAACCGTTTACTGAGCTAATACATCAAGTCAGAAGTCAACTAATTTCTTCAAAAGACTGCATGGTATCAGTGTTTTATTGTAGCTGCTCCCTGCTGGCAATAACATATAATGCAGGTTTAAAACACTTCAGCCTTGGCTTCACTTCACCCAGAAGCTCTATCCATTATATCAGTGTCAATGGCACCGCCCCAAATTGCATGTGTCGCTCAGCGCTATATTATGTCTTTTATTGCTCTGTAGTGCTCACGTCTCGTTGCTCTGATTGATCTATACTGTACAATTGCATTTTTCTGCTATCTAACCAAATTCTTAAGTACTTATAATCAGATCCCAGTAGGAAGGACAAAACTTGGAGCTAAGAGCTTAGAGCCGATGGCATAGATAGAAGATGGTATCGTCAGTGTAAAAATGGATTGGAATATTATTATTCCAGCTTAATAAAAAATATATATAATTTGAATATTTGGGATTTATATATTATAGATATGAGGGAAATAAGACACGGAGAGATTTATAGAGAAATCAGTGTGATGAGAGCGGAGCTTTATTTCCCCACTTATACCAATATCACACAATGACTGACCAATAAAAGGAACAAACACAAAGACTCTTAGTTAGGTGTTATGCTTCCTCACTTCCTCTGGCCCGTGACCCAGATATTGATTGAGGTCAGCCATAATCAAGGATGTACTGATTTTTAAAATGAGTCTCTGATGTTGTTCTAAATAGAGTATTGTTGTGGAAACACTTTTACTGTGATTTTAATCAGGGTAGTCATGATACCAGAAATTCCAATACCAGCTAAATTTTACGATTCTCAATACAGATTAAATACCATGGTAAAAAACTAAACAATAAATCCCTTGTACTTTAACATATACTCCTTTGTATAAAAAAAAAACATTTGAACACAAAAATAACAACAGTTGCCCCTTTTCTAACAGATTGCTGTATTATTAACCCACAAACTACAACTGCTACTACTATCTGCTCAACATGCTTTTCCCTTCATTACTCTTTTAAGCTACTCTGCTCTATTTCTCTCTCCCTCTATATGTCTGACTCCGCAGTAAGTTTCATAAAGTAACAGGACTCCAATTTTAGATTTTTTTCATCCACAATCCTTTTTTCACAACAGCAGCTGAGTTGCGTGTGGAGGAGGCTCATTGCAACCAATGTGATTCTGAATGGCCTCGGGACAAGCACAATCTGATCCTTTCTTGTAAAATATCCATTGCATGTGCACCAGAGAGCATCCGTCTCTGTGTTTCTCTGTGTAGGAGGTTCCCTGTCAGGATCAGGAAGAATTGAATCCCCGGTACCTATGGTACTGTAGAAAAACGAATACTGTCATGTTTTCAGAACTTAGGCTTCAACTTGGCACTGAAGTATCGGTTTGGTAAAAATATAGAAATGTATAGAATCTGAATCATGAATGAATCATGAAAACACACAAGATAAATGTACAGCGATACAGTTGCGGTCATAGGGATACAACACAGACTTTATTCTGTACTTTCCTCAACGCCATCTGTGTCTGGCTTCTTCCTGTCCTACCATGGCAGTTCTACTTCTCTGCAATTATTTTTCTGAAAATCTTTCACTTTTTTCTCCCGTTTTATGTGAAAAGGCTGTAGAATATTTGAGCTGTTGCTTCGATCTCTCCCTCCCTCCTCCAGGTGTATCTCCTGTCATGGCCACGGACACAAGACCTGCACTGTTTGTCACGGCAGCCAAAACCTGCTGCATTTCATCCAGCTCACTGTGACATGGTAGGTCAAAGGTCACACCCACTCATTAACCCACAGTCTCTGTCCGAATTCCTTCTCATCTGTTTCTTTGACTGTTTGTGTGTGTGTGTGTAGGAAGAACAACATAGCTGACTTCATTCCAGACCGTCAGCCGGACTTTCCTGATAAGAACTTCGAGCAGGTGACAGGAGATCCTTTCTTCATCGACGAGAATCTTCTGGTAAAAACAAAACACCTGTTTTTATTTTTTTAATTAGGAATCCCCATCAGATGCGAGACATCAGCAGCACATGAACTGAAGCATCCATCCAGTTATTCCACGCCAACTCCGATCTCCGTCCGCAGGACCAGCTGTCCTGTTACCATCTGAGCTCCTGATTAGCTGAAGGGACAGGAGGACAGTCTTCACCAGGCTGAATGAAATTAACTGGATAATCATAGTTTTAATGGATCCATGAGGATTATTTCAGAAGAAAACTACATTGTTACTTAATTGATTCATTTAGTTTTAATTACCCAACCCTCCAAAGCTATATATACTATATATACCTGCTAAACACCAGCATGAGAGCTCTGCCATGGCGTGCATGTTAGCAACCTGACGTTAGCTTTTAAATAAGTACAGCCACACAGAGCTGCTAGCATCGCTGTAGACTCTTGTTGACTGAAGTCTGTGTTCACCCATCTGTTTCCAGGTGTACCCTCTCCATGGTTTTCCCGATCAAGAGATCTGCAATATTTCTGCAAAACTGATAAACGAACACCTGAATTCCTTCAGCTCCACCAGCCGCATCCTGCAACAGGTACAAACAAGCGTGCACACTTTTCACTCTTCATACATCACTGAATGCCAGTGCCCTCTACGGTCTTTAAAAAAGTGCATTAATTCCAGATAATGAAGCAGACCAGTGAAGTCTTTTTGTATTCCTACCTGGACACGTGTGGATCACTGAACGGGCCTACACAGCACAGGCTTCATATTCAAAATGTCCCTGAAAGAGCACAAAGACTTCAGAGACACAAAACAATCCTAAAAAGATGCAAACCGACCACAAAGACACACAAAACCATTACAAACATTGCTTTCAGTCTCTTTCAGTCTTCTGTTTGCTCCTATGGTAGACCAGTGGTTCGCAACCTGGGGGGTCAGGACCCCCACTAGGGATATACTAGATCGCAAGGCCTTCTTGATTTTAAGGGATGTAGTAAAATTTGAAAAATATACACAGTAGGCTGATATCTCTGGATTCCATTAATTTCTTTGAAGAAAACTAAATTAAATTGTTATTTCTTAAAGTTTAGATTGTTATTTAATAGAAACTTTGAAGACCTTGTCAAAAAAAGAAGCCTAATAAGTATGTATAACTATTAGAAATGATAAACATACACAATGCAGACAGAATTGTATAAAAGGTTCCTAAAAACATCAGGAAAACTCATCTCTGATCAATATTCACAGGAAATAATCAGCTCGAAATTCATCCAAATGGCTTGTTTTACACAAACTTCCTGCAGTTATTGTGTTCATTGTGTGTGTTCATTGTACAGTTTATCAGTTGTTCTCCACTGTTACTGTTATGCATTAAATATATTAGGAAATATCCACAAAATATATCATGTTGTCAATGAGTGAGTGATACTGAGGCCATTTCTTTCTGTCCGCAGCGTCAGACCATCGAGATGGTGCCCCTGACTCACGCTTATTACACGTACAATGGAAAAGACTACAGCTTCTTCGTCTACGGTCTGGAGAACAAAGTCTTTACGGCCAAATATCCCTCTGCGTGTTCGATTTTATAAGTAAAAATACATGCCTATGTGTAGTACGGGTCATGTCTGTGGGATTCGTGAAGGTTCACACAAAGGGCAGCAGGTAGAAAAAGCTGAATCATCCATTTCATGTGCCGGCATTTATTTACCCAAAATCTATCGTAGTGTTTGTTTACTGTGTTTCAGTTAGCTGAAAGTCTACTGTTAATGTCAAATATGAAGATAGGACTAGTGGTAGCTTCCTAAATCCTTCATAATCAATCTCATTTACGCACCACTATAATCATACAAGCCTGCAGGTGTCAAAGGTGTCAAGTTTTTGTGGATAACCTGATGTGTCTGGCAGGCTGGTAGCTGTTTTAGGTGCCTTAGACGATTCTTGATTGAATTTCTAGAATATTAGCTTTATTACGGTATATATGTTTTTTCTGATCCCTGTAGTGTCTGTCAGACTCCATGTAATCCAGCCTGATATAGTTAAACCACTGCATTTTGTGTGTATTAACATGTACAACTACCTTCGCCTTCGGGTCGCTCCGCTGACTTTCTGATGATGAGAAGTGTAACATATTGATATCAGGCAACCACTACCTCTATTGTCAGGTCAGACTGAAAATATGTGTCATGGGATCAGCAGCCTGTGCTTGCTTTTATAAAAATGCCTTTACATCTCATTCAGTATATCAGATATTTGTTGCCAAGATAACAGATAATCTTTGATTTATAGACGTCTTCATTATCATTTCTATGGGCAGAAGCCATACATTACTCTATTTGTACTTTGACTTCTCATGGACTGAACAAATGCTCAGTGTTAACCTCACTTTCTCCTGCTTTTATAAACACAAAACAGATATTTTTTTATAATTTCTACAACCAGTCAAAGCCTTAATATTAGTATGTAGATTAGTCAGTTGTAAATCCTCCTTATTATTGTTATTGGAACATTTGTCTTTGCGTCTCTGATCTTTCCTTTCTGTTCCTTCCAGTCTAGTTTGAAACAGTTTTCTTGGAAAAGGTAATAGCATCAACACTACCAACATACATGACTGATGGATCGTGTAAAGCAGGTAAATCAGATAAATCTCTATGTTGGGTTTGAATGGGACTCAGACTTTACCCCCCCCTGCTCTCTGTTCATTATTACCTAACCATGAGAATAAATAATATGGATTTATTAAAGGGATTTGGCTGAAAGCTCCAGGATCAGACAGTATTTTGTGATAGTGGAGATCAAAACACAACAGAGAGCCAAAGTGAAGAAAACCTCATTCTAAATCCCAGTTTAAAAGTTGATAAAAGACTTTAGAAGAGACATCTCTGAGTTTTATGGATGTGGATACAATTTTATTCAATTTAAGACACGACAGTGCCTACCATGAGCAAGCACTTGGCGACAGTGGCAAGGAAAAAGGAGGTAGAAACCTTGAGCAGACACCGGCTTTAGATGGGTTGGGTTTAAAGAGTGACAGAGAGAGACAGAGATGCATAGCAACAATAATAAGAAGAATAACAACTAGCAATAATAATAATATCCAAATTAGGACATTGGAAGTTTCTGTGCTGCTGCATTTAAAGTTTTTTATTCGCTCACAAAGTAATTTTGTTAAAGTCACAAAGGTTTCAGTTTCTTTTTTTATACTTTATTGTGTCCAGACATATCTTCCATACATTTCATGTTATTTAAACATTGTGACAACATGTTTTACCTTTTTTTTTATAATCTTTTACCCAAACACAAACACAAAAAAGAAAACACAGTGCATGCATTAACATTATTAATTAATAATTCATTAGTATAGATGTTACTAATCATATTGCATGTGTACATACATATTCGCATATACATACATATCTAAAAGTAAGAAAGGTCAGGCTTTGATATTTTATTATGTATGTATGTCGGCTTCTACTAACAGTTCAAACCATGATTCGTCTATATTTCATTAATATTTACATTATTACTCAGTGAATTCATTTCTTACAGCTGCTGCTGCATTGGAGCTCAGAATATGAAAAGCAAACTTAAGAAACTTGCTTTGTTTTTCCAGAAAGACCGATGAAAGAAAAGCTGAATAACAGACTGTGTTAAGTTATAGAAGCTAGCGGACAACAGGCTTTGAATAATTGATCAGCTTAGTTAAAAGTTTACACTCCACTGCCTTGGGGACAAATACGCCGTCAAAGTACGTCCACTGACAGTAGTAGTTTCTGCCACTGACAGACTCAAGGTTGTTCATTTGTGTCGAAAGGTGTCTGACGAGGCAGGTTGAGATGGAAAAGGATCCATACATGAAACCGACGATAGAGACATTTAGTTTACCACAAACAGACCGTAAATATAGTCACGTGATCAACACGTCTCCACTCAAAGACATCCAGAAACAAAAACACTACATTAATTAAACCTCAGAAATCATTGTAACTTCATTATCACAAGTGAGACAGAAAAGAATAAAACTAATTAAAAAGCCTTTATGTTTCCAAAAAATTCACTGGGTTTGGTGGAAACTAATAAAATAGATATGATAAAACAGCAGTTTCAGTGAGACAGACCGGCTAATGATAACAAACCACAGAGAGGCTGCAATACAACACAGAGAGAGACACCAACAGAGAGGTTATGTTTATGTGTATGGTTAAGGTTATGTATGAATATAACAGCAAATACCAAAAAGACCACTATCAGAGTTTACTGCCAGTATATTTCTTGACAACCGGTGTGTTCAGCAGCATTTTATACTGGCTTCATTTTTCAGATATATTAAACTTTTGGTATGTTTGAGTCAAATGTTTTTATTCCTTTCAGCTCAGGTTTCAATGCATAAAACAATTTATCCAAGTTTTAACTTTTTTATATGTCTGACAACATTTCAGTGATTGTTTAAGGATTTTATATGTAAAAGACAGAATATGTGGGAGAATGTGCTCACAACATACATTTCTCTGCTTTCTGTGTTTTTCTTCATTTTTAAAGCAGAAGGAAAATATACTTTTATATAACACAATAAAACCTGTGCATGTACTCAATAAAGATGGTAAAGTTCATAATAAAGTTCTTTCATATCATCATCCTTCTGAGTTTTGTCTATGAACATTTGTTTGAAAAACAGCGAGGAATCATTTAGTTTTAATACGACTCCTGATGGAAGTTTGGTAGCGTTAATCAGAAACAGGTAGATGCAACATGAGTAAAGGACTAAATAAGAGTGAACAAACTAACATCCTCACAATAATGACAGACATTGACATAAATAACGTGGAAAAACTAGTTGGAACAAGTTAATTTTTATGAGTAGCCTAATAAACTTGTGTTTGTGCTACTTATTATTAAGTAAGTGGTAATTAAAACACCTTTGATTGCACAGGAAGAACTAATTTTCTTAAAGTACATTTGTTGAACATAATTTCATTAGAAGTTAACATAACTCAAAAAGACTGTTCATTTTGTTGTTGCATGTTTCAATAAACAGCACAGGATGTTCAACAACCAGGAAAACACTGGTGAGATTTTGAGGAAATGTCACATCACATTAGCTCATTTCAGTTGTTGAATTTGTTTATAGATAATATATGACCGGGTATTTCCAGTGGTGGAAAAAACGTAATAATAATGTTGCGGGCCGGATTATATTATAGTTTAGACATCATGTTGCAGGCCAGAGGGGGGGAGGGAGGAGGGAGGAGGATGGACGGCCTGAAATGGCCCCCAGACCGGCAGTTTGAGATCCCTGCTGGATTAGAGAAATGTCTGAAAAATGAAAAACAGATTTATGTATCAGAACTTAGATTTTTCTTCTTTTCTATCCCATTAATCATCTTACAAACCCCTCAGATTTATCTGCTGACTCCCAACCCCGAGGTTAGGAACATAACAATCTAACAGTCTAACAATATAACTTCAGCCACTACAGGACTTTTACTGTTAATTGAGTGTTTTTAGATTCTTAATAACTTGTATGACTACTTGTTGAAATATACTGTATATATATATACATATATATATATATATATGTAACAGTTATATCTTGGCCTGTTTAAGCGATTGAAATCAGACTGAGACACAGTCACACTGCCAAAGGATTGGAAGTGCATTTGTAGGGGTTAGTAATCCCACCAGGGGGCGCTCTCGTTTATACAATAATGGCTTCTGAAGGTATGTTCACTGACATCATGTTCTGTGGGAAATAAAGCAATTTAAATTCAAACGCTCAAGAGGCAAAACTTTACACTGACTGCTTATCGCATTAACAGCCAGTGACCAACCTAAATATTTGAATGTAGTAATAAAGTAGTTTGACGCAGCTTTATTAAATACTTCTTCCTGTATCAAAAGGTTTTAATTAAAGTGAATTGTACTGACAGGTTTTGATGAAGATAACTGTATGTCAGTTTTGTTAAAGTAACGGATCTGAATGTTTGATGCTAATGTAAATTCACACTGACATTTACAGACATTTTTCATGTGAAATTTTCTCTCTTTTTCTCTCTTTTTGATGAAGCTTAATATTGACAAAATTATTAATATTAAAAGTGGTTTTATTGAAACTTAAAATGTATTACTTAAAGTTTATTTTAGCCTCTTTTATTGTAGCTTTTTGAATATTCTGTGTAGCATACATATATTTCTATTATCTTTTTTATCTGTTTCATATTTTTCTATTTTGTTTATATCCTAATGTTGTTAGATATTGTAATATAATTCCTATTTATACATTCTTCTTATGATTTCTATTTTTTTAATGTCTTGTGAGCACCTTGAGTAACTGTAAGGAAATACATTTATCCCCGTGGATCAATGAAGTATTTCTGATTCTGATGTGTGTGAGATGAAGTTAAATTGTATTTACAGTAGATATGAGTGTGAATATTTAGGATTGTGATCTGAAGAGTCGGATTTTCCGAGCAGCGCCTGAATGCGGCAGCGGGGGGGACGGGGTGTTTGATGGTGAAGGAGTGGTTCAGTTCAGCCCACATGTGTTCAGTTTGTTTATAACGTGTGGAGCCTTCAGGTGACCGGACACTCAACTGTCCAGATCCAGAACCAGAACCAGAACCAGAACCAGAACCAGGACCAGAACCAGGACCAGGACCAGGACCAGGATCCGTCCTGAAGTTCAGCTGAAGCGGATTTACTGAGAGAGCCACAGAGAGCCAGATCGGTGAGTTGGGGTTTATTCTGCAGTGTGAGTGGATGGCTCCTGATGCTGCTGTCGGTGTGAGACTGACTGACTCTTCACTCTTTACACAGGCTGATGGGCAGACAGCAGGGAACAAGTTATAATAAATATATATATAATATAATAAAATAAAGTTTCATTTAACTTTAATTGTTTAAACCTGCTCATGTTGAAGTATTCCAGCCTGTATGAAGATACTGTTACAGCTTTATGTGGATCACAATGAGACTGCTTCATGTTTCTTCTAACTTAAAATAGTTTAATTAATAAAAGCTCTGCTGGTGTCACCAGGGAGTTGTGGTGGTCCTTGAGGAGTTTCCAGGGGTCCTTGAGGAGTTTCCAGGGGTCCTTGCAGTTGTTGGGGAGGTTGCGGGATCATTAGAGGAGTTTTGGTGGTCAGTGAAAGGGTTCGAGGAGTTTCTGTTGAAGCCGCTGTGCTCATTCTGGGATGTTTCAGAGGTTCTCGTAGAGGTCTTTATGGTCCTCAGATGTTTATCTGAAGAAGATCTGGTTGTCAGTGAAGTGTTGTCGCGGGGGGGTTGGAGGTGTTTTAATGTAATGAGTCTCACTGTGTGACTGTGTCTGTATGGACTGTATATATTCCCTCCACATCGGGGCTGTTGGTACCAGAGCTGCTGGTTCTGGTTCTGTGAGCCGGTGTAATGAAACTGTCAGCTAAAGACAGTTCTGTTGTGAGTAAACCTCCCCCAATTGTCCCCTGCCTTTCCTGTTATGGAGTTCAACCCCCCCGCCCCCTCCTCTCTGCTGTACAATCTGTGAGTGGGACTGCTGTTTCCTGTGTGTGTGTGTGTGTGTGTGAGATTGTTGTTTTCCTGGCTGCATTGTGTCCCCTTTCAGACGGTAGTCCTGCTGCAGTGATGATAATGAACTGACGCTGACACACACAGACACCTGGGGGGGACGTGTTCATATGTTTACTTCAACCTGTCTTCAGTGTCGCTGCACTTTGCTTCAATGAATTAATATATAGTAAATGTTATTTAATGGTTACTTTCATTATCGAATCTAAGCTCTTTCAAATGTTAGGTTTATCCAACCTGTCAGTCCCAGAAAGGTTCAGTTTATAGATCAAAAAGCAGCGAATCCTCCTGAACATCTCACCGAAATAAATAATCAGTTATCACAATAATCACTTATTGGTATCGACACTCATTTCCTCTTTAACAAGTTCATTTCATTTAAAAACAAACAGAAACATTCTCACTGTATTTGTCTTAAAATATCTTTATCAGATTAAAGTTTTTGTACGTTTAACAGCTCAACTTTATAAAATATAATATAAAATAAAGAAAAGAGACAAACATTTTTCTGCTGTATTTTACTTAAGTACTTTGAACTGAACTTTTACTTGTAGTTGACAATTTTTACATTGTTGCTCCTTTAATTCAAACCCCTGCAGGGAAAACAGCCAATCTTCTCTCTGTATTAAACTGACTGTTTCATAACCAGGGGTGGGAATTATTAGATTTTAGATACCAATATCATTATCAATCATGACCCCTTCTTGTTGTCCGGTTCTCGATTCCCATCCCTATTCAGTTAAAAACTCCTTGTAGTATGTTAAGTTAAGGATCTGAAGAGCTCTACCAACCCTGGAGTGGTGCATGGATTCAAAATTGACCAGAAAAATAACATTAAAGCTGTTTTATCTTGTCTTTGAAAAGCACTAGAGCCCATTAAAGCTGCTGTGCTGTGCCTGTGTGCCCACTGAGAGCTGAGTGGAGCCCATTTAAGCTACTTGACTGCCTCTCAGTCAGGGTCCTCCAGTGGAGAGGGGTATTAACACCGGCTCGATCCACTATGAGTGACACAAGGTGAGGAGCCTGCTGACTGCGAGGCGGTCAGTAAAGGAGAGCTGACAGAAAGAGACGCAGATAGAGATCGCAGAGCGTGCAGCAGCCTTTCTGCTCGTGCTTTTAAAAGCTGTATCGAGTCGGCCGGCACATCACTCGAGGACTAGAATCAACAAAAGCTCCAGATAAAAAGTCTTATCTGATGGCTGCCAGACAGAGAGAAGTGGAGTTCAAAGCCGCAGCGCTTTCTGTTTGTTTCAGTGCCTTGAGTAAACTGAGCAGGAATGGAGGTATGCTGGCCCAGAAAACAAGATCTCATCACTGTCCATTATAGTTCAGTCAACATTTATTTATACATCCCAAAGTCGCAGTTTGCCTCACCCTCTGTCCTCGGACCCTCGATTGTAAAAACCTTTAATAGGGCGACTTAATAGGCTTCCTTCTTGACAAATTCAGTGTTGTCTTGTCCCTGACACTTGGCCATTGTTCAATTAGACAATTTACATTTACATTTATTCACAGAAGTCAACCAAATGCTACGAGAAGTTTTCTTACACCCCTTAAAATCAGCAAGGCCCCCATATAGCTTTGGTGACCCCTAGTGGGGCTCCCGACAGCTCCGGAGCAAACCTACTGCCTCTCTGAAGGCTTTCTGACAGGACTCAATGGTTTTTGGCTGTTCTGGGGTTGAACCTGAAACCTGTCAGTCACAGGATGCTTTCTCTAACCTCTCAGCAGCAGCATGTATCGCACTGTACAACATGTTTCCTGTAGTCAGAGCAGATGCCGTCTTTCTGTCTGTTTCTGTTTGATCGTCGTACAACTTCCCAAATGCATCTCTGAAATGTGCTTCTCATTCTCCACACATGTAAGGCGTAGCTTCTTTTACCGCCCTGATTTCTTACGGGTTATACCTCCGTTTGAAATGCAGGTCTGTTTTCCATTCTGTTCATTCTGGGTTTGATGCCAGCTCTCCCTTTATCTGACCTCTCCATCTGTAAAACGGCGCTGGCAGCAGGACGGTGAGAGGCTGTTTCAGGCTCCCTGAGGCTCAAAGTGTTCGGATCCAGATTTACTTTCTTCTTGTCTCCGCAGTTAGAGAACAATGTGAGTATTCCTGAAACAAGGATAAGTTCGTGCACACTCTCTTGTTAACTAGTGTGGACCTATCATGACGTGAGGAGTACTGTTCTGAAGCCTCGAGTTTGGCGTTATGGTCGTCGCCATGGCGGTTTGTCAGAGACATCGGAGGTCGTCTGTAGCAGGAAACAATGGCGGCTCGCCTGGTCACACACGATCTCGTATTCCAGATAAACAGTAAAATATGTCTGTGAACAGATTTAAGGAGAGAAAAAGTCAACGCCGTTTGACTCCGGTTTATGGTGCTCTTGATCAAATCAACAAAATAGACATAAACTACTATCTACAGTTATACATAAACATAAACAAAAATAACAACATTTGCAGACAACAGTGCAATGGTGCAGAGTGCAAAGGAAGCTGGAATAAATATTTATTTGCAGTTATTTTTATGTACATGAGGCAGTTAGATATGACGGTATATACAGTATATAGTGTGCACAGCATGTGTAGGTGTGTTTGAGTGAAGGTATTTATGATTTAAAAAGAAACTGAACTTGACAAAACCAATGAAAACAAGGTAAATAAGTAATAAGTAATGAGCCTGTTTAAATTTCAGTAATTTTGTGTTATTTAAATTGAAAAAAGTAATTAGTTACATTAATACTACATAATACAAAATTACTGCCAACA